AGGTATCATAACGCAGAATTCAGAAAATTGAAAAGTGTAATCGATAGAACACTCGACTAGCCTGACATAGGCAAATAGATGTACAATAATAGGTATGCACCGATAGTTCGCACAACCGTACGAAGAAGATTCACAAAAAATCCCAGCTTCGCTATTCCAGTCCGACTAAATAATGCATTCGTAATGTTGCTAAACTTAGCATCGAAATAGAAATCAAAACATTTCAAAGACAAACGGATTTTACAAAAGAAAAAACGCAGCGCTAGTGAGGGCCGACCAATCTATATCCTCCCAGGCGTCCTCTGAATTTTTAACGAACGCCCCTCTACCCAAATTGAAAAAGAAACTACCAAGCATAAATTCAGACGAGATTTTCTTTTTTTTCTTCACTTTTTTCCAAAAAAAAGAAGGAGAAAGTTTGTTCGTCCCATTCATTGTGTCTTTTGAAGTTTGTCAAAGAAATGAAGTTAAATTTGATAAATTGCTCCGTCGTGTTTTTATTTTTTTTGTTGTTTGTTGCAGGCCAGGTTAATAAGTTCGTTTATGTTCTCTTTTCCGAGATAGCAATTTGTTAATTATTATTTTTAACTGAGATTACGTGTTGTTTAATTTGTAATTTCGTTTTGTTGTTTTCCTGTGTTTTCAGTTGTTTTTTGGTAAATGTTTTGTGGGTTGAGGTTATAGGCTCTATATGAGATTGTTGATACAACTATTCTTTTTATTTGTATTTTTATAGTTATAGAGATACTCGAAGTACGAAATGCACCGAGGTTCACTTTTCCTAGATGTATACTGATATTAAATTGCAAAAGATTCAGAGCTAACAAATTTAAAAATTCAATATCTTCATACCATTATTCCCTTCCACGAACCAAACCAGAGACGTCACAATCCCTTTGAAAACTCACATAAAACCCCAACAAAGCGTGTATGTAAAAATGGCGGCATGGAGATCTTGGTACTCGTCGCTTGTAGGAAGTATTATCGCCAGAAACGGCAGCTTATCGGCGATTATCGAGTACAATGCCCGTTTGAACAGCTTCCTAGGATCAAGATCACTTGTAAACGCAAAAAATGATCATGTTAAGTGTATTTTGAATAGGACTAACCCGTTCAGTAGTGCAGGAAGCAAACTGTTGGTGCGTTTATCTTGGGTTTACTAGGCGTATGTAGATGGGGTGTCCTTTGTGTGTCGGTGGGGTGGGTGCGTTGCTTTATGTTTTGTAGTGTTCAAGAGATATTGTTTTGTGGTCTCGTTTTTGGTGACTATTTATAATTTTGAAATTCCCAGTAATAAAGCGGTGAGGTATATAAAATCGTGTAAGTTATTTATTAAACGGTTTTACATATATTGTGTTGGC